TGCAGCCACAGTGAGCGGACAGTTCAATACAATTCACTCACACTCCTGAAATAGTTCTAGTGAAATCTATTTATTACTCATTGTCATTTACAGATCAAGATGTTTGAAGGTGTTATTGTTTGGTTAGAGGACCTCTCTGCCATTCTCTCCAGTCTTTGTGAGGGGGCAGGAGGAAAAGTAAGGAAACACAGAGGAATTCTTTAGGGCTTTGGCCAGCTGAAGTCTGGCATGTTCCAGTGTCTGTTGGTTTAAACTGCCAGCTCAGTAGCACACACTATTCACAGCCTTGCTTACCTGTGCAAACCACTGTGTTCACAGCAGGTGCTGGGTCTTCACGTCACACTGAATGTCCAACAAAACCATTCAGATACAGGTAATTTCCAAAGGAACATTTTTAACTATGGCCAAAGATAGGTAGCCATGTTGGTTGTGCAGTTTCTTTTCCATTCCCAAATTCTGTGGTCATGTCTTTCTCTCACACAACAGTTTTGGCCTTTGCTCTGCTTCTTTCCTTATATATAAACCTTAGCCCACTGTATCCCAGTCTCCAGCTCCTCCAAATAAAGCTTTTTGCTCCCTCCTGGTAAGACACATCATAGTCAGACAGAAGATTGTTGTGGGCTCTTCATGCCCTTCCTGTCCATTGCAGTGGAAGCACTTCATCTCTGCTTCACTGGACTGAGAACATCCAATCTGGAATAACTTTATTTAAATCTACTCTGGACCCTCCACTGGATATTGGTTGACTCCAGAGCACCATTCAGATCACAATCAAAACTCCTCTTAGCAGATGAACATATACAAAATCATTTAGGTCTTAGGTTGCTCAATTCTTTCCTGTCTTCCCTTCAAACAGCACAGTGCTGTGCCTTTTGGGGCTTGTAGACATCCTGGCTCCTGGCTTCCCAGTCTGGGGGCTCTGCTCACCCCTCTCCAGACGAAGAGGGAACACTGAAGATCCAAAAGCCCTGCAGGCACTGACATTCCTGGGAGTGAGGAGCCAGGGTGGCCGCACCAACTGGTGTGTCCAGGCTCTCAGAACTACAACGAATGAGTCAGAAGACCTGAGTCCCAATTCTGCCTCTGCCCATGAGTCTCTGCATCATCATATTCCCTCTCAGCTTCCTCAGCTGAAAAACAGGAGTCATAATATTTCCTTACTTACAAAAGCTATTCGAAGGATTATTGCATTGTTGTGAATTTCACAGATGAAAGGTACTACAGAAGAACAAACTGCAATTATTGTTTCAAACCTCTGCCCTAATCCTGTCATCCTTAACTTACTGAATAACACTTACTCAGTCGAGGAAATCCTGCCACTACACTGAAGATGATCACTGGAAAAGATGACTCTCTGTTGTAACAAGAGCATTTATCCCCTTGTGTTCAACACCCTTCTGCCTGACACTGGAGTGATCTGAGTCATGAAATCTCCCTTTGCAGTGGGAATCTGTGGTTTTGATAGTGGGACAGGCATAGGTGAAAATCAGAAGCTTGCAGGAAATACCTATTGCAAAGATCAGAAAGGTTGGTGCTCCCAGCAGTCCCTGACTCCTATTAAATACTGTTGGGTGCAGTCACACAAGGCACTGAGTGTGGCCCATCCTCCCAAAACTCATCTGTCCCACAAAGTATCACCTTTTCTGCTTCCATCCCCTCTTGCTTTCAAAACGCTCAACAATCCATGAGCAGAGAGGCAAAAAGTGCCAGTGTTTAACAGCCCTGGAAACCACTCTGGTTTTACACAAATAGCATTTTTCTTGTTGAAGCCCATGCACAAAGCTTCTGAGAAGGATGTAGGTACCGCTGGGCATTACAAGTTAAAAGTACTGTCACAGCCAGGAATAAATACATGGCAGGTGTTCATTAACAAGGCACTAATTGGGTAACTGGAGGTGCAGCATAAGAGACCACAGAGGCCAATTGAGAAGCTTTGGGTGAATGTAGGATGCTCCTCTGAGCTTGGGGAGCAGAAGAAGGTAAAGAGCTGCTGCTGTAGGTTTCTCTTTTATGGAGAAGCTGGTGTTAAGGGTGTCTCTGAAGAGGCAGCCTGTTAACATCTTGTGTGTGAAACTGTGTGACAAAATCAGTTCAGAATTTAATTTAAAGATTACGACTCTTTTCCTCGGTTGAAGTGCTTTTACTTTGGCTTTGGTAACTTGAGCTTAAATTGTTCTGATTTGATTTCACTGTACCTCCTAAGGGGCTTATTCAAACTGAATCAGCCTGTGCCTGTTTGGCTAAACCATTATCTAAACTCACTGCCTTGCATAAAGAAGGCTTTAGGGATCCCAAAATACGTTTGCTTTCCTAATCCCTTGGAGGATACAGTGAGGTTCTTCAAGCACAAGTCTGCAGACCTACAGGTAGGTGTGTGAGTGACTGCTGTGTTCCAGATTGAAAGCTGATAGTGGTGAAATCTCTGGGGACAGTTTCCCACGTGAATTGTTTTGCCTGCTCAGCCTGCTGCATAATGAACATGACAATTTGGGATGAAACTCTCTTACACCCACCCTGGGTGAGATAAGCCAGGATAAGGTGTAATTGGAGACTCCTTTTGGGTTGCAGTTTTGATGCACCCTTCATCATTTTGCTCCTGACAGTGGATTTGTAGCGAGGATCAAACTCCAGTACTGAACTTGTGCACATTCACTGTGAGGTGAGTGCCCTGCTAGCTTGGAGAGTTTAATGCTCTCCCAGAGTTTCTGCTCTCTGGCTTTTCTTGTCTCTGCCTTTCTGCCTGCATTCCCCAATTTCCCTCTTCTCTGCTGTTGTGCTCTGTGTCTGTTGCTGGGGGTTGCTGAGCACTTTGCATTAGGAGACCCCTGTTCAGTTCCTTGTGGCTCTGCCAAGTCTCACATTGCAGCCAACACTTCTTTTGTTGCAGGAGTTTGTCTTAGGCTAAAATATAAATACTTTTAAAACCTAAGCTTTCAGGTTATGATTTAGCTGAAAAGGAGTCTTTAGAGTGCATGGAGTCCATTTTTCCAAGTGTTCATAATGAATACTCAGCCCATTTCTCCCTGCCCCCTCCCTTGGAAAACTTCAGCTGCCAACTTTTCCCAGCCCCCATGCCTAGAGCTGCAGCAGTTTTCATTTAGGGGCTCTTTGGTTATGCTCATGATTTGGTGTCTGTGTATGTTATGGCATTCAGGAATTCCTACTTTGGTTGTCCATGTGGGATCAGGTACATCCTGGAGCAGGAAAGTGCAGTCAAAAGAACTGGCCTGGCTTCCTTCAGCTCTTGAATGCTTTGATACACTTGTGGTCTTTTAGATTGCCTTAAAAAATGGGCTTAGAGCAGAACAATCAATGAATAAAAAGTGCTCAAAATCCAGTCCTCCCCCCTACTGCCAGGTGTCTGGACTTCAGAACACTTGTGGGCAGGGCAGAGTTCAGGTGTTTCAAAGGGATTGCCTCTTTTTTTGGCAATCAGGCTTGTGAACACTACCTTGTGAAGTGTGGTGGTTCTCCTTAAGTAGACCCAGAATGTAATTTTTTCGTACTGCTTTGTGCTCCTGCAGAGACCATGTGCTTTGGGTGGGGAGGTGACTTTGGGGTACCTGATGGTCAAATCAAAAGGGTCAGCTGGCAGGAAGGAAGCCCAAGTCTCACACACTGACCTACAGTGGGGCTTGAGTATTGATGCAGATACACCAAATGCTGCCTTAGTAAATGTATCAAAGAGTGGTAGAGTTGTGAGCAAGTTTCTGGCTCCTGAATATGGACAAGCCTTGAAGTTGAGTGCCAAAAAGCCCTTTTTTTGGGGAAGTTTGGCTAAGGCATGTGCACAATATTGGATCCATCCTGAGGCAGCTGCAAGCATGGCTAAATGGAATTCTTTTAAGCCTGTACAATCTTTCTGATTATATCATACCTCTGGAGAAATTTCAGTCCCGTTGGTTGTTTTTCTAAAGCTAATCTTCTGGAAATAAGGTCTTTTAGTAAAACTGCCTTCACCTTATGGTTACAATAAACTGACTTATTAATTGGCATCAGCATGTGGCTGTCTGAACCAGCAGCGTGGCAGCCTCTGCTGGCACACGTGTCCGCAGAGAAATCTCCTCCCTCTGCCTTATTGGCACTCAAATGTTCCTCTCATTTATTTTCCTAGAGTTCTATTATATTTTTGTCTACAGCAACTCAATCATATTTTGGCTTCTAACATTTTTTTTGTTTTAACTTCTGTTTGCAGTTGTGGATTTGCTTTAGGACATGGGCTGTGTGCGTGTCTGGTACTTGGAAGTGTTTTTAACAGCTCTGATGTTTGTTGATGCTATTATGGTGGTGTACTGGTGAAATGTTTTTATTGTATACGTTAGATAAATTTCTGTTGTTTTCAGCAGTTGACAATGTTATGAAATGCACCAACCAGTGCAAGCTACATCGGGCTGTGGTTTTTCTTGATGGATTGTTTTTGGCCGCTCGCTACTCCGGCGTGCATCGGCGGCGGGCTATTTTTATTGCAGCTCGTATTAGTTGTTGCGTAATGACTGCGAGAGCGCATTACCCAATGCAAACCGCGATTAAAAAAAAAAAAAATACAAACAAAACAACACAACACAAAAACCAGGGGGCGAGAGCAGTTGTGATTTCCATCTCGGCCTCCCGCAGCACGCGTGGATCCCACGCGCGTTTCCAGGCGCACTTTTCAGGCTCTGCTCGTACCTCGGGAGGCGCGACGCGGGCGGACGGGGGAAGCCGGGATTTTCCCCGGCCATGTCTGCCCGGGGAACACCCGCCCGCCGCCGGCTCGGCGCGGCTCCGCGCCGCCGCTCCTCCTCCCCGAGCCCCGCCGGCCGCTTCCCCGGCCGGGGACACCGCCTTGGGCGGCCCCGCCGCCCGCTGACCGGGGCATCACCCCTGCCGTTCCCGTCCCCTGCCCGCCGCTCCGGGGAGGGCGCGGGGGGCCGGGGGGACCCGCCGGCTGCTGGGATTTGTAGTGCGGGCTGCGGCCGCCGCTCCTGGCCCGGCCCGGCCCCGGACTACGGTGCCCACATGGCCTTGCGCCCCGGCGCATGAGCGCTCGGGCGCTGTAGCGCATCTATTATACTGCCTTGCCGAGGATAAAAAGAAGAGCAACTGGAGGGACTGTAAGGCAAACGTTGCTGGAGCTGCCGGGGCAAAGTAATCTATTTAATCTTTCCCTTTATTTGTTAGATGCTTGGGTGTGCATTGCTAGCACTGGGCCATGGTTTCTGGAGGGAGGGGGGCTGGGGAAGAAGGGGGAGGAAAGCAAAACCCACTTGGGAAAGGCCAATGCTGATTTTTTTTTTTTTTCCTCCCCCTCCTCTCTACTGCTCCTTCTTGTTGCGAGAGCCCCGCGTCGCTCCCCGCGGCCCCGCAGCCTTTGTGCGCCGCCACAATTGTAACAAAGCGCGGCGGGGCTGGCTGCAGCCTGGCCATTGATTTCCTCTCGGCCCCGCCGCTCCTGCCCACCCTTTTCTTCTTCTTCTTCTTCTGCCGCTTCTTCTCCATCTTCTGCTCCCCCTCCCCTTCTCGCCGAGCGCCCGAAGACGCCCCGGCCGGCCGCGGCCCCGCGCCCCAACGCAGGACGGGCTTGCTTTTCTTTCTCTTCTCTTCTCTTCTTTCTTTTTTTTTTTTTTTTTTTTTTTTTTTTTTTTTTTTCTTCCCCCTCTCTCGCTCGCTTTCCCTCGCTCGCTCTCTCTGCCCGCCATCTTTTGAAGGGGAAAATTAGGGGGCGAAGCAAAGGAGAGCTGCAGGCGCTCTTGAAAACAAGGAAAAAAAGAAAGACGGGAAAAAAAAATAGGGAAGAGGAGAGAAAAAAAAAAAATTACAAATAGAGCGGAGGAAGGGGGTGGGGAGCAGGCAGCCTCCAGCCCCCGGTGCCGGCGGGTCCCGGGTTTGTGTCGGGTGCGGAGCGGAGCCCGGGCCGGCCGCAGCCCTGGGCCGGCGCCCGCCCGCTCCGGCCATTTCCCCGGCCCCGCCGCTGGCTTGGGAGCTGGAAAAAGGTCTGGGCAGGCAGCGGATGATGGGCTGGGAAGTGCGCCTTTCGCGTGTTGTCCGTGTCCGCATGCATTTATTTATACGTGTGTGTGTGTGCGGACCCAGCTGCTCCGCTCGTGTCGATACCCGGTGTTTACCAAACTTTTGCAAATAAATGGAAACCCAAGGGTTCGCTGCCTAAACTTGGTATGCTTTCTAGGTGTAAAAAGAAACGCAGATCGCAGATTTATATATAGAAATGTCACGCTATAAATAATGCTACCGATAATAAAATGTAAAACTTGAAAACTCAGCCGTCCTTCTCCTCCGTTTATACTTCTTGTTTGGGTTTGGCACCTCCCTGGGCGCTGGGGATAGAGCATTATTTGTAGCCTGCTTGGTTTCACTTTCAAACAAAGCTGTAGTGTTCAGGTCTCGGGTCTGTGTGCGTCTTTACGTGGTTGGGTCTCGCAGGGTGTTAATTCAGAACGTGTTTTCCTCCACAATTGACTTTTGACAACGTGGAGAATGCATTCTGTCAGGTTCGGGATAAATGTTCTGTGACAGTCCCAGAGTGTGGATGTTCCTTTCTGTTAATTTCTGTTTCTCCTTTTTCAGGAGCCAAAAGTTACTAAAATAAACTTGTTTGGATGAGCAAATGTGATGGCTTCGCTAATATTTCACACTTTTATATGTAGGTTTTGGGGTTGTTTTTTTAATTTGTTACATCTTAAGTTCTCTGACACTGGTAAATAATAGCAGGTTAGGAGCTGACATAATTAGCAAAGCACACCTGCTGTTCCTTGCTGGGAATAAAGAAGCACGTTTTTAATATGCTTATTAAATTTTTTTAATGTATACAGTGTGAGTGTGCTGGGGGGTGTGTCTACATGAAATTGGAAGTTTAGTTTTAAAGCTGAAACTGTTGTCTTTAATTCACACAGTGCTAAGCCAAGGTATTAGAGGGGACTTGGGGACTGCCATATGTGCTGCAGGATCTGGGTGACAAGTGCAGAATAAATATGCATCGATCAAAACAAACAAGAAGTCCCCAAAGCAGTTTGGTTGCTTTACAAGCAGAAAAAAGCCATGATCTGTATTGCTTACAACTCCCTAACTGCTTGAGTGTTCTGTGAATGCAGGTCCTGCCTCCTGATCTGCAGATCACAGCCCTGGCAGACTGCTGGGTGTCTCATTTTTTTTAGCACAGAAGTTTGGGGAGTTTTTAATAATACACTGGGAGGCTCCTGCTGAAACAAGAGTAACTCCAGACCTCAGAGCCTTTCTTTTTGGAAAGAAGAAATGCTAAGATTGTGTATTTCTTTCTCTTTAGTCTGCACTGGATAAAAATACTCATGCTTATTTCGTGTTTTGAGACAATGTTTAATAAAAAGGGTTGGGCAGGGGGTAATATTCTTATACAATCTTCAGCATAAGCTTGATTGCAATATTGTCTTTTCAGTGCTGAGACAGTAGCTATTGCAGTGAAAGGCTTTTTAGTTGTAGTGACCTATGCATGCAGAGTTCAAATTAAGAAAGAATGCACGTGCAATGTGAAGTGTCTGAGGGGTGTTTTCAAAGCTGACTCTGGAGTGTTTGTTCTGTTATCTTCAAATAAAAACTAGGATTCTGAAAATAAAACTGGTGTCATTTAAGCACCAAAGTGCTTACAAAAACTTCAGTTATTGTCATTTAAAAAGTATTTAGAGGAAAAGCATGTTGAAGTCTGAGTTCCAGCTCAGTAAGCATGCTGGGCAGCCTTGCCCTCACCCTACCTTCAAAGAAGGCTGATTTTGTTATTAGTCAGTGTCTGCAAATGCAAGTGTTTCTGTGGGCTTCCTAGCTGCTTGTGTCTTTGCACCGATGTGCACGGTGACACAAATCACAGCTCTTAAAAATCCTGCAGAAGGCCTTTTTTTGAGTTAAGAACTGTGTGTTTAAAACCCATCTCTTAAGATGGAGTGAGTCTTACGGGGGTTTTTGGTATCCTCAAACCTCACTTGCCGCCCAGGGGTCCAGCCTGCCTGAGGGTCTCTCCTTGTGAGGCTGAAGGCAGTGCACACGCTGGGCTGGGGCTTCCCAGAGCTTTTCCCAGGTACATCTTTTACCTGCTGCACGTTCTGAATGGTGCTGTTGAATATTTACCATTCCCCTTGGAGGGGAGGCACTTGTGCAGTGGGGTGTGGGTTTCCAGCCAAGCCCTGCTGCACTCCTAGAATCTCACTCCTCCTCCCAGGAGTAATCTGCGAGCTGATCACTCTTGTTGACAGCACAAACAACTTGGGAGTCAAATCCCTCTCCTCGGTAGCAGCTGAGTGATGTACTGAGGTCTCATATTTCAAAGGATTAATTACTTTTACAAAATATATTACTCTGTCTTCTTTGGTAAGCTATCAGGTGCTTTCAGCACAGGTAGAACTACACTTTGCTAAGTAAATGAACAGAGTGGATTTACATCTCAGTGTTGTTGATTGTTTCTTTTTAATCCTGGTTGTTCCTTCTTTGCTAATTTGCGAAATTTATTAATCCTCAGTGGGCTTCCCAATCATTACCATGAGACGTATGTTTTGTTTTGTATGTGATGTTTTTTTTATTTTGGATTTTGTTTTGTTCTGTTTCAATTTGCCTCATTATTCTTTAGTAGTAGCCCAGAACCCTGTTGCAAGCAGTGGAGTTGTGGGAGTTGGGAGGGAGCCATTGTGTGCTGTGCTGCTCAGTGAGCTGTCGGGACATTTTGGAAGGATCTGTGCATCTCCAGCTTTTCATTCTGCAGGATCTTACTGCGACATCAGGGTTGTTTTGTCAATCATTAGTGCTTGTTGGAGCTGAAAATCTTTCTGTGGCACACTAACTCTTCAACCCACTTGTTGCTAAAGCCAGTGTTGGAAGGATGTAAATTCTTCTGGAGAGCAGTGCAGAAATTCTCTGTAATATGCTGTGTTTTCTAGTACTCCTTTTCCCTTCTTCTTGATTATATACTGACTGAAGAAACCACTCACCTCTGTTTTGGGTTCCTTATGCACCTTTCCAGGCCTTGGTCTCTTTTCAGCAGATGTCATACTTGGAAGTGTTTCAGCAGCATGGATGATCTGGTCAGAGGAGTTTATTTTTCTTCTTTCCTGGGAGCAGGGTTTTCTTCTCTCCACCAACATTGCAACAGGTGTAGCAAAGACAATCTGAGATGGAATTTCTGTGCTTGAGAGACCGATCTGGAGGAATTTCCCTGTCTGCACTGATCCCATTTACTGCCAAACTTTGAGATTTAGACTTGGATGTGATTGATACCTGTCTGCTTTGGGAATGGTCCTCTTTGCTCCCGCCTTTCCTTTAAAGAGAGAGAAGCAGGGACAGGAAAGGATTGCTGCTCCACTGTTGAAGTTTACACGTGGAGAACTTTCCTGATGCAGCTGCACTGACATCCTTGACAGTCTGAAATGTTCTTCACTGTGACTGACTCTCCTGTAGTAACCAAACCCTGCTTGTATTGAATAGAATGCACATTTCTCCTTCTGGCACTGTCTTTTCAACTGCTGAGCTCATCCTTGTGTAACATCACAGAGGGTGCCTGGTTGGGCATCTCCCTTTCTCAAAACCCATGGATATGGCCATGCTGAGATAAATCTGTTTTCTAAAACTGCCCTGGTCCATTGGTTTGGCTATAAGCAAGTGCAGAGTTTGCAGTCCAGAGCTTTTTGCTGGGAGGAACTATAGTATGTAGCTGCCTTTTTGCTTACCAAGGCTGGTTTAGGAACTGTGTTGTGCTGTGGGCTGTAGTGAAAGTGGTAAACGGAGCACATGTGTGTAAGAATTGTGTCTGGGTATAGTGGAGAATGCTGTTCCTTCCTGGAAAGCATTGGTTTTTGATGTTCCTTCCTGGAAAGCAATGCTTTTTGCAGCTTTTCTGTTGCTGCTACAATCATGCTCAGAGTCTGTGAAATAATGTTGAAGTGCAGCACTTCAATGAAGAGAGAGGGAATGTTCCTCCAAGTTTCCCCTGGAGTAAGTGCTTGCCTGAGTAAGTGGGAGGAGTATTATGGATCTGCCAGTGTGCTGAAAGTGTATTCCTTTCCTGGGCAGGAGCAAGCCACATGGGAATCAATTGGGATACTTGTGTGCACACTGTCATGGTCATATTTCCTTGGACTTGAGCTTCATCCATATGCAGGAGCTCAGAGCAGCTT